ATATTGAAATGGTTTAAAAGTGGAGACCTTTAAAAGCGCTCTTTGAGCCCTTTCTAAAGAAACCATGTGCGTTTTTAGAGCCCCACCCCAACAAGAAATGCAATAAGTTAACAAAGATTCACACAGAGCAAGATACAGCTGTTTCAAAAGATATGGTTGCACTACATGTCTTAGATTTTTAAAAACATATATAAGTTTGCGGATACGATTTTTTAAATGTTGAATATGGTGTTCAAAAGATAGATTTTTGTCTAGAAGGATACCCAAATACCTGACAATCTCAACTCTTTCCAATAACGGACATCGGCAGGAAGTGAGAGAGCTAGGATTTTTTTAAAATACAGCTATGTGCACGTAGAGAGAAATCGTTTCCTGGTTGCGTCACATCACGAATGGAAAAGGTCAGATATTTGGTTTTCTCCGCATTTAAAGTTAATTTATTAGAGCACAACCACCTTTGTACAGTATTAAATGAATTTTGGGCAGCTTCAAAAGTTTTTTTCCAATCACCCTCTGCAAAAAATAGCACAGTATCATCTGCATAGCAAATAGACTTTCCAGAGATGAGCTTCATTTGACAGAGATCATTAACATAAATTGTGAATAAGGTGGGCCCCAGTATACTGCCCTGAGGTACACCGTAGGTCACTGGTAAATCTGAACTCCTGTGATTACTAATTTTAACACTTTGCAATCTATTTTTCATGTAACTCTTAAATAAATTTAACTGCTTTCCACGTACACCAAGCCTTTTAAGCTTTTCCAGCAAGATAGGCACAGAGACCGTATCAAAAGCTTTCGCTAAATCTAGAAAGATCGCTAAACATCGTCTGCCTTTATCCAAATTTTCTGATATAAACTTAATTACGTCATGCATAGCACCATCTGTGTTTTTGCCAGATCTAAAGCCATATTGGTTTTTAGCGAGTAGATTGTTCGTCTCTAAATAGTTGATAAGGCGTTTATTTATTATTTTTTCTAATAATTTGGACATAGCCGGGAGTAAAGCTATAGGTCTATAGTTAGTAACTTGATCTCTGTCCCCCCCTTTGTGTATAGGGATTATAATAGATTTTTTAAAAGCTTCAGGAAATACACTATCTTCCAAGCACCTATTAAAAATATGCGTTAATATCGGTACAAGTATATTTTTATTATTTTTTAGAAAAACATTTGAAATATTATCCCACCCAGTGGAGCAATTGTTTTTGAGATTCATGATAAGTGATTCAATTTCAGATTCATCAGTATTCAACATAACGAAAGAATTACTAGAAGTCGACATGTCGCTTGAGTCGGTTAAATGATCAGTATCTGCGGTTTTTTCAGCTAAATGTTTTCCAATGTTAACAAAGTAATTATTTACACTATCAACGGCTAAGTCAGCTGTTGCATAAGACTGCAACAGTTCGTCAGCCGATGATTTAGGTTTATTAGTATAGGTTATATTTTTAGAACATTCCAGAGCTTCCTTTTTGTTATTACCAGCACCTAAAATTAATTCACTTTCATATTTTCTTTTAATATTTTTTAAGTAAGTTATTACAAAAACACTTATACCTTTTGTAAGTTATTTGTATGGTGTTGTTGTTTGGGTGTTTTTTGGCTTTCTTATAAAGGTTATCTCTATTTCTAACACATCGAAGTAAGCCTGATGTCATCCAAGGTTTGATAATCCTAATTCGGTTGGCGTATATACAAATATCAGTGTTTTTGTTATGTAGTTTAGTGATTATCTCAATTAACCGATTTACGGCGACGTCAGGATCATCAATATCATAAATAAAACTGAAATCTGTGTTTATCATATCCTTATTGAGGTTAGAGTGATTTAATTTAGAGTAGCTGTTAGTTTTTGGTTGAGAAGTGGGATCAAAATTAAGACAAAGTAAAACAGAGCTGTGGTCGGTAATATCAGACTGGATGATCAACGTTAGAGCGGGCTTTTTAGTTTTTAATAATACGTGATCGATACAAGTTTTGCTAACAGGTCTAGTAATCAAATAATGTGCTGGCATAAGACCATAAAATGCCGTCAAATTAAGATATTTTTCTGTATGTGTATCCATATTACTCGTTGAGATGTCGAAATTTATGTCTCCCATGATAACGACATTTTTAAACAATACCACCGATTCTAAGACTTGTTCCAAAGAGATGATAAATGAATCTGGGCTATTATTTCTTGAAGGGGAACGATATATGGCAATGATTGCGAGATCTACTCCTTTTTTAATTACTAAACAGCTTGCGCCCGTAAAATAAGGTTCCTCAACCGTGACACCGAGACTATTTCTTACATAAACTGCGACACCATCATTTTGGTTAAAACATTTTTTGTTAGTATATCCAATATAATTGTCTAAAGTAGGGATATTTGGGTTACATAATAGCCAGCATTCGGTAAGTATAATTATGTCGCAAACAATTTTGGTTCTTTCCAAAAGCAAAGCAAAATTATCAAAATTACAACCTATACTTTGTATATTTTGAGTTATAATTTTAAGGTAATTTTCAGTTTGAGGCACATGTGATTGGCAAGAGTCAACGTCTATTGAAACTGCTCTAGATACCTCAATGGAGTCAAGATCACCAAAAACTGCTAATTCGTCGAAAACGCGTAAAAGCAATATAATGAACTGTAATCTTTGTATACCTCTTCGATATTGAGATATAATGAGTGACTACAGAAGTTAGTTAAATATGATAAAAGTGACTCAAGCATTAATAAATAAAGGTCCCTAATTAAATCACAGTTAATCGAAATGGCTTCCTCATTATTATATTCACGTCTTGGTATCAATCTAAAACAGCACTCATCGTAATTAAGTAAATTAAGCCCTTGACAGATATATTCCTTAAATTCCATATGTACAATATAAAAATAACTTTTTAATAAATTTTGTACCTGCACCATTGCAAAATTAATACAATTTTCATACAAGTCCAAAAAAACAATATGGGATGTGTTATCACCCGTATAATAAAAGATATAAAATTTTAACAGTTTTTGTAAGAAGCATGCATCATATAGTAGTTTATTATAGTTACTTAGATATTGAGTTTTTGAGACTCTGAAGTTCCTTCTCATGGTCCACCCGTACATAAGGTTGTTTCTCGTCCTTACGCAGATAGATAACGCCCCTCGAGGTCCAACAGTACGTGAAATTATATTCCTTGGCAAATTCGCGGGCAACAAAAAATAATTTCTGCGTTTTGTGTGTTAATGCCTCAGAAACATATATTGGCTTACTAGTACCCGGTAAATTTAGGTGACTTGTATTAAGCTTTTCTCCTTTTCCCTTATTACGATTAAATTCTTTTATAGCATTTAATAGGGCTTCTTTTTTTATGACGCTGTTTAAGTCCAAAATAATAGGACGAGACGTTTCATGTTTGGAGAGTATGCGATAAACATCCCTTATATCTGATTCTTGAAGACTGCAGTTCACTGCCTTCGCCAAGATCTTGACAATATCGCATAAATCAGTTTTGGACTCTGGTCTATTATTCTGCTGATAAATTCTTGGCGTGTTTCGTATTTCTACAGCTGTAGCTCGTGATCTCTTTTTCCAAAAGCTCAATTTTGTCCTCCAAAGTCTGAATTGTTTTTTTGTCGTTTAAACGTTCTTCCTCCATCGTTTTTAATTTTTCTAATAAGTGGTCATACTTTTCATTCATAAAACTCAGACTTTTTTTGCATGTCACAGTTTTGATCGGCGATTTGATTTACTGAAACATGCAGTGCTGCAAAGCGCTTTTCAATTTTAGTAGAGAAGGACGAAAATAAATCTTCTATAAAAGATGTAGTGGACTGAGAAAATTCTTGGCTGCCGCCCTCTAAGTCAAATTTACGCTTAACGCGTTTCGTTACAATATCGTCGCACGCTAAATCATTAAGTGACAGAGCCGTACGTGTAAGTTGCGACGGTGAGTCACGAAATTGATCTGTACTATGGGCCGCAACGGCGTCGGATTCGCCGCTTGTCTGAATGAACACCGGGGGAATTCATCGTAGCGGTAGCGGGGCCGACGGCGGGGGGCCGCGGAAGCGGGCCCGTTGCGTTGCGGAGGCGGAGGTCTTGGGAGGCGTGCGCCTGAGAGACATTGTTGATTGACGGGTACTAGGCGCGCAGAACTCAGATAAAGTAGTATGAATCGTGCGTAGCTTCGTAGCAGTACCTAGGAGCCGTCTCGTAGCACGCTACGACACTTTTGATGTTTGCTACACAATGTGCGGGACTAGAACAATACGACACAATACTTTCGGACACTTCTCAGATTATGCACTCCTAGTATCGCACCGCGCCCTTAAACCACTTTAAATTTAATTATTTGACTAAATAAAATTAAAATAAATCGGATCTTGTGTACACGAGCACTCTGTATGCGGTCCGGAAGGGAAGAGGATTCTATCTCTGCATCATCCCAAGGTAGACTGGGAGAGAATGACTTAGGCATTAAGTCCGCCAGCGCCTATATACCACTTGTGTATATGAAGTTTTAAATAAATAAATAAATAAATAAAAGCCACTGAAAAGTTACTAATATACCAAAAACAAAATAGTATTGCAATCCCGAGAAAGGTTCTTCAGGATGTATCTACTAGGTGGAATTCTACTTTAAAGATGTCACAACGCTTTGTGAATTTGGAAGAAGCTATTAAAGCTAAAATGGCTTTGACTGACGAGGAATGGGATACCTTGTCAGCCGAAGAATGGCGTTTATGTCGCGAGTTATGCACTGTACTTAAGCCTTTTGAACAGATAACTGAAGCGATAAGCGGGGAAAAATACGTATCTGGGAGTCAAATACTCATTTTAACTAGAGCTCTGATTTCGGCACTAAATAAAATGCTTCAGTTTACTGTAGACCCAATGGAGGAAGATTTTGCGAACAGTCTTTACGAAATAACTTAAAACCTAATACGTTCTTTGAGATCGGAGACTGAAAGATGATTCGCTAATATCGAGGCTAGTAAGACGATTGGTGTTTCGACAATGTTAGATCCACGATTCAAATTACATGTGTTTAGAAACCAGGTTTACGCAGCTGATATTAAAAAAACAGTTATTGACCTTGTCACTACCAATATAAATAACAATTTGCCAATTCAGCAAGGAGGATATGTGGACGCCCCTGAAGAACCCATAGCAAAAAGAAATAAGTTTGATATTTGGGACGAATATGATACCATAGTAAACACAGTGCGCCCTGAAGGTACACCTAGATCGCAGGCAGTGCCGAAAGTACAGAGATACCCAGAGTTACCTGTTACAGGAAGACAGCAAGATCCATTAGAATGGTGGAAGACTTTCAAGCATAGCTTTCCCAATTTAGCAGTTTTGGCCAGAAAGAAAAAAATTTATTGCTACTTCTGTACCCTGTGAGAGGCTCTTTTCTAAAGCACGAAGTATTATGAACGAGAGACGTACAAGGCTTGGCATTAGAAAAATGCAACAGCTTTTATTTTCAAATTATAAAACCAAATAAAAATTTGAAATAGTAGGTATATAGTAAAAATGTAAATAATGTACATATAAAATCAATGTAAATAGTTGATCAAAATATAAAACACGCCGCCTATTCTTCTAAATTATGCCACAGTCATAAGCCTGTGTAAAGTGTGAAGGATATTATGATCACATTAACTGTAAGTACAGTCGCCAGCGCATTAAGTTACCCTAAACTGTCAAATTTCTCCAAATTATTTTAAACCAATAAAGGGGGATAAGTCACTCGCGTCCGTAGGCTTTGACCACCTGTTCCTAGGCCCACCCTACACGTATCCCCCGGGTGGTGCTAAATGAGCGACAAGCCGATACCACAGACTCGCTCCACGCCGTGGTAGCGGCGTTAAATAGACCACACCATTTCGCACCATGAGGAATCGAAATAAAGAAATGGCCCCGAGTTCCCGGCGCCCCTTTAATGGGGCAGGGGTGCGAAGAATCTCCGGGAGGAAAACCGGCGACGAGGTTCGCCACCCGTCACGTTCTGTCTCCCGGAGAGGCGAAAAGTGGATTGCAGAGGCCCGTCTGGCTACGTTGAATGTATGTGGGGCAATGAATGATAAAATGGATGAAGTATGCGATATGATGTATGATAGAGGAATAGATGTGTTATGCGTAAATGAGACGAAAAGGAAGGGGAAGGATGTCACTGCACATGGCATGTATACCGCATACTGGTTTGGTGTAGACGATATCGAGCGGGCATGCCAGGGAGTAGGTATCATCCTTTCAGAAGGAATGGGCCAATGTGTGAAAGAGTATGAATGTGTAAGCCCAAGACTGCTATGGATACGAATGAAAGTGGGCTTGAAGAAGTTGTTTGTGTTAGGGGTCCACGCCCCAGACATGTCTAAGCCCACTTATATCCGAGAGCAGTTTTGGGAAATGGTAAGGATGGTGTTAATGAAGTGTAAGGGAAATGAAAATATTATTATGCTAGGAGATTTTAATGGAAGGGTTGGGGTGAGGAGGCTTGGTTATGAAAGGATATTGGGAACGTTTGGTGATGAAAGTATAAATGAGAATGGTGAAAGTCTTCTCATCGTATGTATGGAAAATAATCTTTTTGTGACGAACACTTGCTTTCACCACAAGAGGATTCACATGTATACTTGGGAAAGAGGTGACGATAGAAGCATGATAGATTTCATAATTGTGGATGAAAGATTGAGGGGCGCAGTGGTAGATACAAGGGTTTACCGGGGTTCTAACGTAGGAACGGATCATTATTTAGTTTTATGCCGAATTAATGGTCTACTCAGCTCGTCTGTGTCTACCACTGGGTTACAGCGTATTAGAACAGAAAGGTTACAAGATGAAAGTGATAAAAACAAGTTCAAATGTAGACTGAAAGAAAATATAAGTGGTTTGGATGAATTGTGTATGAAGGAGTTAGACTTGGAGAATATATGGCAAAATGTAAAGAAAGGTTTAGTGGATGCAGCTACCGAAGTATGTGGTGTTAGTAAGAGAAAGAATGAAAGGAAAAATGATACGTTATGGTGGGATGATGAGATACGTATGGAAGTTGAAGCAAAGAAGAGAGCATGGCTAGATTTACTAGCAACAAAGGCTGGTAATTCTGGCGGTACGAATGGTGATATTGAAAGAAAAAAGGCAGTCTTTAGACATCTTAATAAGAGAGTAAAAGAAGTAGTTGAAAGAAAAAAGCAAGAAAGAACTGATAAGAATGATAGAAAAATATCGGATAACTTCCAGGCAAATATTAAAATGTTCTGGAAACTTGTAAGAACTGCCAGGGGACATTCAAAACAGCTTATGATGAATGCTATAAGAGACGAGAATGGCTATATTCTGAATGATGAAGTTTTTAGTTTAAAGAGATGGAAGGAATATTTTGAAAGCGTGTTTATGAGTGAGGAGACAACGTGTGTACTAAGTGGAGTAGAAACACCGAAAGAAGAGGAAAGAGGTAGCGAGATACGTATAGATGAAATAATAAAAGCAATGAAAAGCATGAAAGCAGGTAAGGCTGCCGGATATGATAGAGTTTCACTCGAAATGCTAAGGGCTGGAGAGGAAGTGGTGGCAGGCCTGCTGCACACCTTGTTTAATTTATGCTGGGAACTGAAGCGGGTACCGGTAGACTGGTGCAAAACTGTAATAGTCCCAGTATATAAAGGAAGAGGGTCGCAGCAGGACTGTAAAAACTACCGTGGCATCAGCCTTCTTAGCATTGTGGGAAAACTGTATGCTAAGATACTGATTGAAAGGATCATGAAAGAAACTTATGGAAAAATTTGGGATGTGCAAGCGGGATTTAGAAAGGGAATGGGATGTACAGATCAAGTCTTTTCCATGCGCATGATCGCGGAGAAGTTTCTGGCCAAAAACCAGAAGGTTTTTTGTGCGTTCATGGACTTGGAAAAGGCCTATGACAAAGTGGATAGGGATTTGCTATGGCAAACACTGAACTCATTTGGGTTGAGCGCTGACTTGATACAGGCATTGGAGTCTCTTTATAGGGACTCTAGTGCTTGTGTTAGGATCAACGGGGTCTACTCGGGCTGGTTTGACATCCATAAAGGTGTCAGACAGGGCTGTGTAGCTTCGCCGTGGCTGTTCAACCTATTTATGGACAGTTGTTTGCAAAATTTGAAAGTTGAAGAATGCGGATTAAGAATGGGTGAGTTAACCGTCAAATGCCTTTTGTACGCCGATGATCAAGTTATTCTTGCGTCGTCGGCGGCCGAGTTGCAAATGATGGTTACATTAATGAACGGATCATTAAAAGAAAGGGGTATGAAAGTGAACGCAAGTAAGACGAAGGTTATGGTTTTTGAAAGAGAAGAAAGTAAAACGATTTGTGAAATAAGAATAGAAGGTGAGTTGATCGAGCAAGTAGATGAGTTTGTATATTTAGGCTGCGTATTTAGAGTAAATGGGGCCTTGCAGTCTATTGTGAAGAGTCAAAATGTGTCGAAAATGGCACGTATGGCAATTCACAATGATGTGTTAATCCCTACTTTAACGTATGGTTGTTAAAATTGGGTGTGGCAGAAGAAGCACGAGAGTAGAATAAACGCAGTAGAAATGCTGTCGTTAAGGAGTATGTTAGGGCTGAATCTGAATGACAGGGTAAGGAATTGTGTAATAACAGAAGAGTGTGGCTTGCAAGATAATGTGGTGACCAGGATTAAGAAAGGAATGCTTCGGTGGTTTGGTCATGTGGAAAGAATGAACGAGGAAAGAGTGACAAAGAAAATTTATGGTGCAGAAGTGAATGGCAGAGTCGGAAAGGGACGTCCTAGGCGAAAATTTATCGACCAAATTGGCGATTTATTGAAAACGGGCCAAATTAGGAGTACCCTTAACCGACGAGCATGTATGCGTAGGTGTATGGATGTGAAGGAGGCAAGAAAGGTGTGTCAGGATCGTGCCAAATGGAAGTCTGTAGTCTCTGCTTACCCCTCTGGGTGACAGGCGTGAGTGTTTATGTTTATTTATGTATTTTAAACCATAAAATGTTGGTGGTTAAGTTCAAAATCGAATGAAAAAAATTGACAGGTTGAAGTAGCTTGATGCGCTGGCGACTGTACAATACTCAAACAATTTTGCACGCATTTTTTTAAAACCCTGTTACCTTGTATAAAATAAACTTCATCCGCATGATTTACGGGAAGTTATCCCAAGGGAACATATTACCGGGATAAAAAGTACCCTATATGTTAATCCAGGTAATATACTACATGTATACAAAATTTAATCCAAATCCGTTCAGCCGTTTTCCCGTTAAAGACTAACAAACATCCATACATTCTCACAACTTTAGTACTAAAGTAATAATTAGTAGGATATATTATCACCGAGATAGATGTACTTTTTTCTTTATTCTGCATTACTGCTGCAGGCGATAGTTTTTATTCATAAAAGCGACTACATATCAAATCGTGTATAATCACATTACAAAACGTTCCAAATATCTATTCTGTTACCTATCCGACGTGATCGACGTGACAAAGTCACAGTGATTTGTCACCGTGAATTTTTTATAATTGGAACAACAGTCACGGTGATTGACTTATATCGACTTTGCCCATATCTAATAAAATACATACACAATAATATTGGTAAAATTTATTTTTTTATTATATCGTTTGCAAGTGGCCAGTTCTAAAAACTTTCATTGTTGCCCTCATATGTATAGGCTTCGAACCTACGGTCTGTTTAAGTATTGTTTAAGAAACGAGGCTCTATATGATCAGAATATTTAACTTATTTCCAGATGCCAAGGACTAAAGGGATTTTGAGGGAGCTGGATTTAAACAAGTCATTGGAATTTACCCCTAAGAAACTTAAACTGTATAAAAGATGTAGGAGAAATTTGAGCGAAATAATGAGACTTAAAAAAAATTAAGAAACAACCATGTGCCCTCTTCAAAACATCAACTACAAATAGTAATGTCCAAAGTCTCACGTATCAAAATATATCTGGGTCATTTGCTTTATTGTTGCAAAGTCAACTGCAAAATACTCCCGGAAAACTGACTGGTCGGAGGTGGAGTATAGAGGACAAAGTTATGGCTTTAAGTATCTATAAAAGGTCTACAGCTGGCTGCTATAGACTGCTGAGGCGATTTTTTTGTCTACCAAGCGAAGGTACATTAAAAGCATTACTGAATAGAATTCCAATGAAATGCGGTATAAAATAGCCAAATATTCGAAACAATTAAAGAAATAGCTAAAAATCGAGAACCAGAAGAAAATCTGTGCATTTTGGCATTTGACAAAATGTCAATACGACCGATATATTAAAACACATTTGCAATATATTAGTAAACAAGATGTAATTGATGGTTATCAAGATCATGGAAATCAAGGCAGATCTATGGAGCCAGCCGCACATGCAATGCTATTTATGGCTGTTGGAATCCGAAAGAAGTGGAGCAGCCTTTAGCTATCTACTTTTCTGGTAATTGTGTTACGGCTGATAGATTATCTGTTCTTATAAAAGAAGTAAGTATGCAATATAGTTGACTGAAGAAAAAAACCATTGCATACTCAATATATATGATTATATATTTGTATTTACAGGTACTTGATGCCAGCTTCCAAGCTGGGTTGAACGTCACTGCTACTGTATCAGATAACTTTGGTGTGAACGTCAAAGCATTAAACTCCCTTGGTTCCGCAGTAACTCAACCATATTTTGAGTTTAAAGGCCATGAAATCGTCATACCTACCTCACCTAATCAAATGCTTCAGAAATAATTTACTGAAGTACGACATTAAATGCCCTCAAGTATTGCAAATTGATGGAAAATCTATACTAGGTAATTTAAATGTTGTAAATCTTAATATATATAAAATACGTGTCACGTTGTTTGTCCGCGATGGACTCATAAACTACTTAACCAATTTTAATCAAATTTGCACACAGTGGCAGTTTGGTCCAACTTGAGAGATAGGATAGTTTTTTGCCCATGAGTGACCCACATTTTTTTTGCGAATTTAAGAATTTTTAATAGGACATGACAAAGGGTCGTCGAAAAGAGCAGAACAATGTCTGCCTGGCAAGCTAGTAATAGATAGTAATTAGGTATTACATGAGTATATGACTAAGGTCAAAGGTGACAATTCAGACTTCATAAGATTTATCTTGTCTTGAGCAACCCGCCGTGTGGATGATCATCAGATTAATATTAACAAACAGACTCAAATAAATGTATTTTTTTAATACTTCTGTCATTATTTATAATATATTTTATATGTTTATTATTACAGGTGTAGCCAAGTGGAGTCACATTAAATCATTTTTTGAAAAAGACGATGGAAATCCAAATTTTGTTTTTGCACCTGCTTTAACTAAGCAGCATATTGAACCCAATTTTAAACAAAAGATGAAAGTCAGCATAGCTTGCCAAATATTCAGCCACTCAGTCGCTGCAGGAATGCTTGCTAAGATTGGGAACAGTAAGTTGTCTTATTGGATAACTTTTGATATTGTATAAAAATAATCGACGCCTCGAAATATAATATAATATAATAGTTTATGTAAATATCAATCAACTATTATTAGAGTTTATTCGGTTTAACCCTTTCAGGACCATAAGAGTATGGGAGGGTATGTAATCTTAACAGCTTTATATAACAGTTATTTATGCATATAATAAAGATATTTTTTTATTAAAATACCAAAAATAATTATAGTTTTTTTGGAAATTTTTGGGACAAACCGGTCCCTGTGGCCAATGGCCGATACTTTTTGCCTATATAACTTATTCTTCACGTTTTCGAGATTTTATCGGTATTTGAGGTATCGTATATTGAAAACCGCACATTTTTAGAAGCAAATTTATCTATTCATGAAAAATATACAATTTAGAGTAATTAGTTGTGGTACTCAGCTAAACAGTTCCTTTCATTAGTGTAGCAGAGGTGAACTTTACATAGAACACAAGTATTGTTTGTTCGGTTTTCTATCCTGCACTTGGCACAGTTGACACATCTCTTCCTGGTTTTTGATTTTTCCATGGGGTGTGTGGGTAACTGTCGTTTTACAGATCTGCGTACTGAACTTGATTTTGAAGTGGGAAGGTCTCGCTGCCTGACAGAGAAACCGTTTATCAAACTTCGAGCAACGACTTGTCTGAACTGCAAACTAGACAACAGACCTCCTTCCAACTGTTTTTCATCGTGAAGCTTTGCGTAGACAGTATGTGCGTTATTCACTGAAATATCTAAGAGATCAAAAAATAGTCGCAGGTAGTATTTTATTTTCGATCTGCGATCGATTTCATAGCACACTTTACGTTGATCCATGAGATCTACTCCTCCCATGTTTTTGTTATAGTGTGATACAATTTTTGGGCATTTCACATTAATTTTTTCCGCTGACCCAGCTTTGCGTCGTTTTACGGAGTCTGTTTCTAAAGGTGACAGAAAGTTGGTCAACAAGTGCACTGCTTTATTGTCCATCCACTTCACGTATGAAATGCCCTGAAAACTTGTGGTGTATATGTCTCCTCGATTCATTTTTTTTGTCAACTGGTGCAGTTTTTGGAAGATGTTTCCGGTTTGTTCGAACAGTTCCGCATGCCTTGGTATTCTGATAAATCAATGTATGCTGCAACATAGGTGAATTGAAAAAATTATCAACATAAATTTCCCATCCTAATCCGTCCAACTTTTTCGTAAGCTGAAGTACTACAGATTCACCTAAACCGTACTCAGTCCCAGAAGTCCGCTTGCCTGTATATAAGTCAAATTCAAACAGGTATCCTGTTGCAGCATCACATCTACACCATAATTTGAAGCCCCACTCGACTGGCTTATTTTTTATGTATTGCTTCATTGCATTATGCCCTTTGAATTTTATCATATGTTCATCGATAGATTGCTTTTTTGTATTATTGAGAGCGTTTTGAAATTGATTTGTTGAAATGTTCGATTATGGGGCGAATTTTATACGCTCTGTCATAACTCGGACTATTTGTGTCTCCCACTTCTTCGTTATTGCAGAAGTGAAGATTTCTGCGTATCTATTCAAATCGAGTCCTTGGCATAACATTTGATATGAAAGGTACTGCCATATCTGGTTCTGTAGACCAGTAATCTATAAAATTAATGATGTCAAAATGTGATAGCCCATAACTAAATTCATACCAAGGAATGCTCTCATTTCTTTTACATCTACAGTAAATGCCCGGCCATTTTGATGAGCGTACCGTACTGACTCCTGTACTATATTTTGAACTAAAATATAAAAATTTGTAGTTGAACAAAATATGTCAAAGGGAGTCAATACATCAGCATCAACTTCTTGACAAATTTGTATCTTTCCGAACTCATATTCCACATCACGAAAAGTATTTGGCACATATGTTCTCTGGTTCCACTTGAAAAGTGGTTCTTGATTACTGTGTGATTCGGTGACGGGTAAAACAGCTGTAGACTTTGTTGGTTCAGGTGGCAGACTTACTGATTTCTGAAGTGGAACTGGAGTATCTTCAATTTCAACGTCAGAGACCCCTTGATCATCATCCTGCGTCAAAATACTTTGATCTTCTTCGTCCAGTTGTAAATTGTCTTCTTCGTCACTACTGTCACCCATCAAAATCTGTAGGACTTCATCATTCTTGAGTTCAAAAACGCCACGTTCTTTACGAAACATAATCTGTAAAACAATATCAATAAAAAAATGAGGGTAATTGACAAAAATCATCAGTAGAATAAGATAATAATTTCTCATAAATAATGTCTCTTATGGACCACTGGGACGCTGGTGTCCCTTTATGTTTATGATGTCGTATCACTGTAAACAACTTATATAATGGTTTGATGAATATATATTATATCAATTTACTTACCAGGCAATAATAATAGCACAATAAAAAAACAATATAAAACACTTTGTGGTCCCGAAAAACTTTTATAAATTTACCGAAAACGCACCAAGCGAATTGTCAATTTCCAATTACCATAGACAGTATATCTTATTACCTACGTAGTGTTGTTGGCGAAAAAAATTATTAGAGAAGCGTTCAAGAACTAATAAAAAATAAAGGAATGGGCATTGGCTTCTTAATTATGAATATTTTCATAATTATTGGCTAGGGACACATTTGTCCCCGTAGTCGTCAAAGGGTTAAAGAACTTTATTTCTCATTAAGACAATATGTCACTTACATGAGAACAATAACATCTATATTATAATTCTAGTGCGTGTGGGTAGTAAAAAAACAATTAAAAAAATCGGTCGATCGTTAACCAAGAAGCGAGTTCATTGTGTTCCTATCAACTATAAGGCGATATAATTTTAATGCATAGTTTAATCATTATAAATATATTCAAATAATCTTCTTTTAAAAATATTGATTGAAGTCGCTTCTTTCACATGTTTTGGAAGTTGATTGTATAACTGTGCTTCCCCAAATGTTATGTTATTTTTTCCATAGTTTGTTCTTACGGCAGGTAGCACAAAATTGCTGGCTCGGCGGGTTATATATTTGTTTATTTGACTTTTTGTTGTGATTGTTATGTGTGAGTGAATAAGCTTGTGAGTTATCTTGTAGATAAGTAGACATGTATTATACGTAAAAAGTTGTTTAATATTTAAAATTTTTGTGTTTTTGTAAATGTTTTCAATGGCGTTAAGAAGTCATAGTTGTGTAAGATTTTAATTATTTTATTTTGTAATATTTGTATCGCTTTTAAATTACTTTTAGCTGCAGTACCCCATATTTCGATTTGATACAGTAAGTGAGGCTTTACCAACGTATTGTATATTAAAAGTCGAGCATGTTTCGGTATATATCGAACTATTTTATGCAATGCGCCCACAAGTGAGGAGAGTTTGTTGTGAATATATTGCAAGTGAGCTTTCCATGTAATGTTTTTGTCCAGTGTTAAGCCTAGGTATTTTTCTTGGTTAACTTGTTGTAATATCTCAACGTTAATACTAAGTTTAGGCGATCAGGTATTTTTCTATTTTTGGAACTAAATATTATGTATGAAGTTTTAGAAGTATTAATTGTTAATAGATTGTATTGGAGCCAACAGTGAAGTATGTTTATATCCTCTTGTGCGCGCATTGTTGTTTCTTTGACATTGCTCCCGAAATAAAATAAACTTGTATCATCTGCGTAGAGAGCAAGGCGACCCTGTAGTCCCGCTTGGTGAATGTTGTTTACGTAGATCAGAAACAACAATGGGCCAAGAATTGAGTCTTGTGGTATGCCACATGTTAGAGGCTTGCGACTACTCTGGTAGTCTCCAATTTTTAGAATCTGATTCCGATCATCCAAATAAGACTTTAGCATTTTGTATACGTTTACAGTAATGCTAATACGTTCCAATTTTTTTAGTAGTATGGAATGGTTGACCGTGTCGAAAGCCTTTTTTAAATCAACAAAAACACCTAAAGCAAACTGTTTTTGATCAATTTTGGTTTTGATAGTGGTTACTAAATCTATAGTTGCGCCAAGGGTGTTAGATGCGAAAGCCATATTGTTGGTTATACGAAAATTTAATTTAGTAAGGAATTTGGGTCGAAAGCCATATTGTTGGTTATACGAAAATTTAATTTTAGTAAGGTAGGTAGTCGTCCAATCTCATGTAAATAATTTTTTCAAGAATTTTGGAGAGTATTGGCAGAACTGAAACTGGTCGATATTTTCCGGGATTTGTTTTTGTACCGAACTTGTGCACTGGTGTGACTTTAGGGATTTTTAAGCTTTCTGGGAAGATTAAAAAGTTTGTTAAGGCAATGTGTCAGATTATGAATTATATGATTTTTTGTACACTTTACGATTTTAGTAAGTACTTATACCATCAATACCTGTGCTCGTATTTGAATCCAAGTCATCTATGATTTTAGATACTTCATTAGCTGTGCATGGGGAAAACCGCGATAGCTCATGGTGAGCAGTTTGTTTGGTGGTTAGGTAACATATATGTATCATTGTTATGAATCTTGTCTGGTATTTCATTTACTAGTTGCATACCTATGTTAGCGAAGAAACAATTAAAGGTTTCACATACCTCTGTTTGGTCCGTGCTCACTATTCCGTTTTCATCTGTAAGGTTTGGGGGAACACAATTACTTAAAATTTTGTTATTTGCTAGATTATTAATTAATTGTTTTCATTTTCTTGGGGTTTTTTGTACATTTGATGAATTCTCCGTAGAAATACTTCTGTTTTGTATTCTTAATCGTTTGTGCCAGCGTGTCTCTCTTAAATTTAAAATCTAGCTCTAGGTTATTATTTTTAGGATTTTGTTAAAATTTATTCCATGATATATTCCTTTCATTAATCTGAGCTATTATGTTGCTATTCTTTTTGAGGTTGGTTCTATATTTTATATTTTTTTGTTTTACTTTCGGCAGTTATTTTTATATGTTCTTCTAGAATATTAAAATTACAGGAAATATTTTGAAATTTTGATAATTCTATAATTTTATTTAATTTAATAATATCAGCCACTTCATACACTATTTTTTGTTTTGGTGGAGGCATTACTCTTTTTATTTCTAAGTACATATTTTTATGATCCGATAGGGCTAATTCAATGATAGCCAAATGAAAATTGTTACATTTCAAATTAGTAGAAACATGATCCATAATTGTTTTTGTAGTTGTTGTTTCCCGAGTACAGTACTCAGGGTCTATTTTGTTTATAATTTTGTATAATGATTTCTTAAATTTACGCGAACACTACACATTGAATAAAACTATTATTTACGGATTTTATCGCGTTTAATTACTTTAATTTATTTTTTATTATTATCCCGACGTTTCGGGTGCTTTACAGCACCCATGGTCACCGGGGGGACGTCGAACATCTTTGACGTCCCCCCGTGACCATGGGTGCTGTAAAGCACCCGAAACGTCGGGATAATAATAAAAAATAAATTAAAGTAATTAAACGCGATAAAATCCGTAAATAATAGTTTTATTCAATGTATAATTTTGTATCCAGATTCCGTAAGCATAGTTTTATAACGTTTTGTCATACTGTCAGTACATAATAGATGTATGTTGTCCTCCTTTTTAGCAGAAGCTGTTTTTCGAAGTAACTATTTCTGCCTCAAGAGATTGAATTTTATTTTCCGCTGCTGTTGCCTTTGTAGTTACGTCTGATATTTGGGTCTTCATTGATATCTACTCTTTATTCAGAGTGTTGGTAGCCACTTTAATGTTGTTTACCTGTGTTTTCATTTCTGTAATATTGTCACGAATGAAGTTCATTGTAGCTTCCTGGGTGTTTGTGAATTTTTGTAACATTAACGTAACATCTTTGCGGAAATCTTGAAGTTCTTGTGCACAGTTGCAGTTGCAACTATGCTCTGGTTGCTTACGTTTTCTCTGGGTATTTTGGTGCTCCATATTAAACTTACTATTCGATGTTCCTAAATCTGTTAATGATCCACGGGGTGGTGAGCGCATTAAGTTCATGACTTATACCACACAACTTTGTCGTCACTATTGAATTAATGTATCCATTAACCTTTGCAGAAATTTACAACTTGTTTACTACTGTTTAATGATTATTTAAGCTGAAAATTGTAATTGTATTTTAAGGACAACAAAATACACGTCTGCTTCATATAATCACCACTCGCACTCTGAAAATTAGAGTTTATTCAAATAATCAATCAAATAATAAAATTAGAGTTTATTCAAATAATAATTATAATAAGAAAAAAATTAAGCTACTTCGCGTTGACAGCTTCCTTTTATAATTGAATATTTTTATAAAAATTATGTTAGGTGTAATTTTTATGCCTACTGTACACGGTCGTCTCGTCTTGTCTCGTGCCTCCCTCCCCGACACGCTTCCAAGAGCGAACGAGGGTGCGAGACGCGACGCGGCGAGCGCGTGAATTTCCATTTGCCTTCAATTTAATTTCATTTTCCCCAACCTTTCACTATAAAATAATAAATGAGTGTTTACTTTCTAGATGAACTGCCGCAAGAAGCAACAACGACATCCATTCTGATTCTGAAAAAATAGACCAGCTATTCGACACCTTAAATGGCGATACGCCTGATCAGAAAAGAGGAAAAAAACAAAACATTTAAATTCTTTGAAGGAAATGAAAATCCTGTTCCAAGAATTATAATTTATTGGGCCCAGATGCAAGCCGCCTTCGCAGGAAGGTCTTATTAGAACTATAAATGCAGTTGAGCGTCTATTTTTTAATTTAGAAAGGAATATATAAAGGCAATATAATTATATATATATATATATATATATATATATATATATATATATATATATATATATATATAATCATCCTTTCACGGTAAATGTTGATCCAGTGAGAAGTTAGAACAATTGTTGAACAATTGTTATACGTGGTAGAGCCATGCTGCAGTTATATTAGTAGTATAGTTGTAGCACGAATGGGTCGGCTCGACCGGGGGAAGGACCACGCTCTCACAGAATACCAGCGTGAAATAGTAGCTTAATGCTGCTGTATTTCGTATGGTGAGTGTAGAGAACCGGAGACCCTTTTTACTGGAAACGAGGCATTCCATCTTAGTCCTCACGGGTGACAACGCATCTGCATTTTGATTCGTAATCGAGGATAGATGAAGATGTCTATGGGCCACAGCAACCACTTACCATCAGGTGGACTGTGTGCTCGTTTGTCACCCTATCCTATAAAAAAAAACCTATTTGACGTGTTTGCTCAGATCCTCGTCGCACAAACTGATATACTTTGATCCATCCTTGATGCGCGTGTGACATCGGTGGATCTGCACTAACAGGTTTTCAATATACTCGTCAGCGATTTGACCAACATTTGTTGATCTATCAACGGTCGAAAAAATCATACTGAATATGATTTTTTAGATCCAGAGTATAAATAATTTATATGCGACATTTACTCAGACTAAGTGGATCCGGAGCCATAATTGACCAATAGGTACTCGAAAACGAAGCGGCAACGTCGCGTTCTGTGTGTGACAGAGAACCCAGTAGGCTACTTCCTTATAGTATAGTAATAAGGTAAGAAAATGCGTTATCTGCTGATTTTGTGAATCAAACTTTGGCAGGTTTTATTGTGGAAAGACGTTTGTTCGAGTTTTTGTTATCGTGTGATCGAATTTGTGTTACTTTGTTCAATTGTCATGGATCAATTAAAAGATGATAGATAGTACTTTATTACAAATCAATTTATCACTCGAGTATGTGTGTGTGTAAGGGTGGGGGGTGCCATTTAGTGCGTGCGCATGTGTTTGCGTGTGTGCGTGCTTTTATGCGTGTGTGTGCGAGTTTGTGTGTGCGCATGCGTGTGGGTGTATGTGCGTTCATGTGTGTTCGTTGAACGCATGTGCGCGCGCGCGCGTGCGTGTGTGTGTGTATGTGTGTGTGAGTGTTGCGTGCGAGTGCATGCATGTGAGTGTATGTCTGTGTTCGATTGAGTGCACGCGTGTGTGTGTAGTTGTGTTCTGTGTGTGTGTGTGTGGGGTTGTGCGTGTGTTTGCTTTTGTGTGTGGGTACAAGTGTGTGCCGATGCATGTGTACTAGTGTGTGTGCGCGTTTTGTGTGTGCGTATGGGTGTATGTGAGTGTTCGCGCGCGCGCGCGCGCGTGTGTGTGTGTGTGTGCGTGTGTGTGCTTGTGCGTATATCTGTGTGTTCGTTTGAGCGCGCGCCGTGTGTGTGTGTATGTGCGGGGGGTGTGTGTGTGTGTGTGTGTGCGAGCGCGCGCGCGCATGTATATGTATGCGAGCACGCGCGCGTATGTGTATGTGGCGCGCGCGTGTGTATATGTGTGCGCGCGCGTGTATGTATGTGTGCTCGCGCGTGTGTGTGTGTATGTGTGTGTGTGTGTTTGTGTCCGTGTTTGTGTGTGTGTGTGTGTAGGTGTGCGTGTGTGTGCGTGTGTATGAGCGTGCGAGGGCGTGCGTGCGGGTGTGTGTGCGTGCGTGTGTGTTCGTCTGAGTGCATGTTTATGTGTGTATGTGTATGTGTGTGTATGCGCAGAAAACGGAGACGGAGAATGGAGACGTGGTGGAGGCGGAGGTGAATGCAGGGTAGTTTGTGGTGAAGGCAGAGGAGAGGAATTTGGGGTAAAGTCGGAGATAGTGGAAACGGGGAGAGTGGGGTCAGAAGTAGGTCAACCTTAGATTGTGTCGGAGGCGGAAAGAATAGTGACGAGCCGTGGTGGTGGCTGCGGAGGGAGCGGATTGTATTGTTGAGGCGGAGGGAGCAGAGTTTATGGTGGAGGCGGAGGTAGCGGAGATGGAGAACGAAGGCTCAGAGAGGGATGCGGTGGTAGATGTGGAGGCATAGGTGGCAGAGGTGGTGGTGGGTGCATTGGAGTGCAGTAAAGTGGGTACCGCGTGAGGGCAAGTGAGTCTCACATAAAGGACAGTTGGTTACAGCGAAAAACAGTGTGGCTAGTAAGTGGATATCGATACTGGCCATAAAGATGTTACTACGAAGTTATTAATTTTTCCGAATATCAGCTTGGCTACCTATTGGTGCTAGAGACAAAGTGAAAAGAACTTTTGTTTTGTGACGGTTTCATCATAACTAACAAAACAAACCCAAACTCGGCATATACCTAGTTCTACTAGTCCAGGTGTTACAGTATTGCTTACCGAAGTACACCTTCAGGTTACTTCAGCAAGACCGGAGGTAAGGACTCATCACAACTAACAAAACGAGCCCAAACTCGCCAAACCCAGTTCTTCTAGTCCAGGAGTTCCAGTAGTAATCCCGAAATACATTTTGAGGTCACTCCATCAAGACCGGAGGTTAGGTCTCATCATAATATCTCATGTAATATTTAGATTCTATACCTATCAATTTTGTAAACGCGTCCTTAAAAATCTTGATTATGTAGATGTAGAAAAAGCGCGCGCGCAAACATGCACACATGCGCACACGCACAAACGCAGTCACATACGCACACTGCCACACACACACGCACACACACAACAGTGCATACAAGCACACAGGCACACACGTACACACACACACGTGCACACACGTACACACACACACACATGCGCACATGCGCACACGCACACGCATTCACACACACACAATCACACACACACATACACACACACGCACACTGTCACACACACGTACTCAAAAAACATAACAGTGCACACACGCACACATACACTAACATACACGCGCACGCACATGCATTCAGACAACGAACACACATACACCCACACGCACGCGCACACACAAACTCACACACCCACCCGCGTGCGCACACATACGCGCCACACAAACACGCGCACGCACGCGCGCACACACACACACACACACACACACACAAACACGCACTCAGACGAATACCTTATGTCGCCGTTGCTACCATTTCCGCTACAAGAAGGGGCATTGTCGAGTTGTTGAGTTATACGTTAAAAAAAGTAGTTTATTTCGACCACAAGGATCATAGATGTTAGTAATAATACAAATCTTAAAAACTAATCTTAGTAAAACTTAAAACTATTTACCTAATTTTAAAACTATATCTAAGACAGGCCCGATTAGTCAGCACGTGCACCATATGACAAAGGTTCAGGTACTGACCTCAAACCTGTCAGAAAATGCCTTCAGGATACCATTCGAGCTGGCCCGCACCCTGCGCACTAGGGATGTGCATCGTTTACGCATGGTGGTGTAGAAACAATCCACACGCGCATCCGCGGACATACCCGGCGCATTACAATAACGAGGCAGACCCAACAGCACCCTGAATGCATTATTGTATTGAACACGCATTTAATCTGTAGCTTGTAACGCCAAAGATACGAAACGGCAACGTCGCGGCTGCTTTCAGCCAATACGATCGTTTATCTTATCGTTTGCTGTGCTCTGATTGGCTCATTTAAATCGGATCAACATTTTCCGTAACCATCGCAAGGTGGATTTGTATATCGGATCAACTTCAGCAAACGCTAGCAAACAGGTTCGTGAGTGCAGATGTTGATCCGGTCGGAGCCACATTAGTTACCAGAAATGCATATTGGATCAACAAAAGGCGCCGGATCAACATGCGTTTTCGGATCAACAAAGTGCTCGCGTGAAGTCGCGTCTGATCAACATTTACCGTAAAGAGATCCCTCTCTCTCTCTCTCTCTCTCTAAAATATATATATATATATATATATAGAATTTATTATAAATTTATCTTGCAGATTTTTCATAAACAATTACTGTAATGATATAAACAAAATATTAAAAGGGAAGAGAGACTCTAATGTTTATGAGGACATATTTCAAATAAAGGCGAAAAAATACTTCCATAAGTTTTTTAAAAGACGAATAAAATTATTAATTTAAAGACATTGTGGTTTTATTAATGAAATTTTCCTGTCTAGTACAAAAATTATCGTTAGATTATTTTATTTATTACATTCTTTTATTTTATTATATAAAAACTTCACTGATGGCCGTATGAGGACGCTCAAAGTCGCTCAGCGAGCTATGGGGAGGGCTATGCTCGGAGTTTATCTGCGTGATAAACTTAGAAATGAGGATATCCGCAGTAGAACCAGAGTGACCGACATAGCCCAACGGATTAGTAAGCTGAAGTGGCAATGGGCCGGCCATATAGCTCGAAAAACCGACAACCGTTGGGGAAAAAAGGTTCTTAAGTAGCAGCCTCGTACCGGTAGGCGAGGTGTAGGGCGACCTCCCACTAGATGGAGTGACGACGATGGTAAGACATGCTGGAAGTCGATGGATGCAGGTGGCTCAGGACCGTGCTTTGTGGCATACCTTGGGGGAGGCCTATGTTCATCAGTGGACTTGTGAAGGGCTGTAATGATGATGATGATAACTACTTTTCCTTATTCCGTGTGTGCATATAATGTAATGTGAGAATATTAAGTAAAGAAAATGTACTCGGTATAATATACACGGAATAAAGTGACTGTTTAGGAGGAGCTTTCACCGACTATTGGCACAGGATAGAGTTCCAGAACAGAGGTAGCCCACATTTAGATATGCTTCTGTGATGCAAATCTATTACCGATTTTAATTCTTAGAGTAATCGATCACGTAGTGTCATGCTCACCTGGCGGTGATAGTGCAGAGCTGGTTAAAACGTTACAAACCCGCAAACACTCCACAACATGCTATAAAGATTGAAACAATGGTTGCTGTCGTTTTGGATTCCCAAGGGCTATAAGTACCACGACAAAATGTTTAGAATCAGATCACGCTCTTAGTAATAATGGACGTTTTTGTGAAGTGCAAAGAAACACAGACGAAGTTATGATTAACAACTATAATTCCGTTCTTTTAAATGTATGGGAAGCAAATATGGACTTACCACCCTGTAGGACTGTAACAGCTGTTACGTATTATATTGGCAAGTTTGCTAGCAAGTGCAAACCCAATTATTGTGGCAATGTTTTAAGGGAAGCGGTACAAAAAGCAAAACGTCAAAGTAATGATGTGTGGAAGCAGTTGTTTGCTATTTCTATGGCGATTCTTGGTCAACGATTAGTTAGTGCCCCAGAACCGGCGTATCGTCTCTGCCATTTACCTATAAAGATGTGTACAAGAAAAACTGTTTTCGTAAATAGTTGTCGTCCGGAGCAACGCCACCGACTTCTGCGATTTATTGAAGACGAAACATTTGTTTTCAACAATGTATTCCATCGTCACCAACAAAGAAAAGTCAGTAAGTCTGGCCGAATCTGCCGTTCGCTATGAAACCGTTTCAAGTACATTTTGGAATGATGATGACGGTGATATTGAGTTAAGAGACGAGGAGAACGAGAGTACTAGATACATTCGATTGCGTGATAATATAAGAATGCGAATCAGAAATCATGCAGCAGTTCTACGTACTCACTACTGATTGAGATCCGCTCCGTGATGCGATCCGCTTATTCGACTGCGGCGTTAAACAGTGACCGAGAATTTTATTACAGTTTAATTGTATGACACATTCCTTTTCGCTATGAAAATGAGCTTATTGTAGAGGACGAAGCAGCTGAAGCTTGTTTCTTACGACAGTCAATTAAGGCATCTTTTATATAATTTTTCCGTAGAACAATTCGCCCATGCCGAACAAGTCATACAACAAGCTCTGATTCAGGCTGTAGCACTCAATACGGTGAAGCACGATGACAATTCTACAGAAGATAATGAGAAAATCTACGCCGAAGACCCAATCAATGCGTATAATTATGATGATTTCATTGAAAATAATGGTCCTTCCGCTAGGCCTGATGAAGTCTTCACAACTGGAATCAGAATCCTAAATGTTCAACAAAAGGATTTGTTAAAACAAGTGGCGGATACCATTGAGAGGGACATCAGGTTAAATGATAATCTACAGCCGTTGTTATTATTTATCACGGGTGGAGCGGGCATCGGAAAATCATTCTTATTAAAATTAATTGTTGAGCATATCAGGCGTTGCTATGCTCCAACCGTGGATATTATGTTTTGTACAACAAGCAAATAGATATTACAACTATGGAACTAACACAATATACCCCTACTACAACAGACGAAGTCAACAAAATCATAGACAGTTTAAACTCGAATACAAGTACTGGTCTCGATGGTTTAATGTGTAAAGCCTTAAAATCTATAAAACCTCTTACCTTAGAAACATTAACAAACACTATAAATAATTGCTTAGAAAGTGGTTACTTTCCTGATTTTTTAAAATTGGCCAAAGTTAGCCCAATACTTAAGTCAGGTCAACAGATCCAGGAAATTATCGCCCTATCTCAATACTTCGAGTACTCTCAAAAGTATTCGAAAAAGTTTTATACAATCGTTTGGATAACTACCTAGCATCAGTTGACTTCATTAATAGCAAAGAATACGGCATTCGCTCCAAATCAAACACTCTTTCGACCTGCATAGACTTAGACACTAACTTAAAAATCAACATAGATAAAAAGCAAATCGCTCTTGGAGTATTTATCTATTTAAAAAAAGCTTTTGATACAATAAGCCATAAATTACTTCTCAACAATTTATTTAATATCGGTTTCAAAGGAACTGTCCTCAGTATGCTTTTCAGTCTTACCTCTCTAACAGACAGCAGATTGTTAAAATTCTTAATACTCACAGTACACCTCAACTTATCACTTACGGGGTGCCACAGGGCGCTATTATTGGGCCTCTTCTATTTATCATCTACATAAACAATATTCATGAAATAGGGTTAGCTGGTGATGTGACATTATACGCTGACGATACTAATCTCTTCTACTTTGGTGATAATATACAAACAATATTAAAAAAAGCTCAAAACGACCTAAATACTCTAACTACATGGTTTCAGTACAACCTTTTAACTATAAATGTATCCAAGACCAATTATATGATTTTCAGTGCTTAGAATAAGAAAATTTCTGACTGCCCAAAGCTATATATCAGTAGTGAACCGAGGGTAGATTCTGAATAAAATTCTCGGACTTATTCTTGACAGTCAAATTAATTGGAAGCCTCAAATAGAGAAAATCTTTTCTGGCCTTATGGGTAGGCTTCGGCATACTGTTCATTATTTTTCAAAATCTGTCTGCTACACTATATATAACTCGTTGATCAAATCTCATCTATGCTACCTAATTGAACTCTTTGATTTTCGACACATAATAAGATCATAGGCATTTGCTACTCGATGTTACAACAATACTATAAAATGTTTTGAATTGTTTGTTGTTGATGTAATTGTTTTTTATTCACCCACATTTTTATTTTATATTTTATGTTGGTTTGGATTTGAAATGTAATTGTCAATATTCTTACAATTATGATTGTTCAATGATCAAATAATGTCGCTTCAGCACTTGTTTCGATGTTAACATATTTATCTATTTTAAGTCAATCCTGTGTTTCTCAGACAAATGAATGTTCTATTCTTATGAGAAATAAATTTCTTAAACCATAACGAACTTTGGGTGGAAGTAGCATCTCTGACGGGTATAGCGGCACGACAAATTTCTGTCACTCGGTTTTTTCACTTCCTATAGAATAAGGTATTACGACAACATATCGTAAAATGAATGGACAGCCGTTGGAACGAGAAAGGCGTAATTGGCGTTATATCAAATAGCTAGTAGTAGATGAAATATCCATGGTTTCTTAGGCAAAATTACGTATAACTTACTTACGCCAACAAAAATATAAATGTGTCGTTATTTGGAGATATCATGCAATTATCGCCAGTTAAAGGATATTGGTGCTTAGAACAACCCCCGTGGTCTAACGCAGAAATACATTTATGGCAACAGTTTTCCTTCAGCAAACTCACCATCAACATGTGACAAAGTAGATGTGGAATTTGTTGATTTATTAAATAATTTACGCTTTGGTGACCGGCTAGTTAAACAGATTGGTGAATTCGCAGATGATGCAGCAGTTAGGATTTTTCCAACTCTGAAATTGGTAGATAACTACACTCTAAAATGACGGACCAACTGCTGCAGTCTAGTCGCGTTTACACCTTACATGCTATCGGTGAGTCACAAAAGGCAGCAACCTACGGAAAACTATCACTATATATAATACTCCCAGTGTAGTGACGGGTAAGAATACCCACTACCCCAAATATTCCCGTGGTTGTCGTAAAAGGCGACAGAGGGAAACTGAGGAAGAAGATGGACAGCAGCATCTTTCTGATGAACAGCCAAATAATAATAAAAAAACTGCGGTTGCCAACCCGCTCGCCAAGCGTGGCAACTATGGCAATATGGAGTATATTGATAATAAGATTGACAACGAGAGTTATGAAGGGACGGCCCCCAGTCCCCGGCGGCCCCACTATTCCTGCTTACGGTGGCGACCATGATAACGGCGAGGCAGGGATGCTAAAAATCACCGGTGGAGATTCGGTTGCCACCTAAGACGACTCGATCTGGCAACATACAACGCACGCACTCTGAGCACTGACGAGAAGATCCTTGAACTGGAAGAAGTGATAGACAAGTTGCGCTGGAATATTATTGGATTATCTCAATGTAGGTGCTAATAAAATTTGAGGGTTACACTTGATTTTCTTGGGATCCTATCATCAAATCCTGAGCTAATGACCAAATCTGTTATGTATACTGTTTTAAACAATATCCATAAAATTTGAGGGTTGCGATGTTGAGTTGCGAATTAGAGATGATGATTACCAAGCACCAAAACCTAAATTACGTAAGAAAGTATATGCAAAACAATGTATGTGCGTATAAAATTTGAAGGTTGCCCTCGATTTCCCTGGGATTTCATCATCAGATTCTTACTTGGTGACAATGGGACCACCTCAAGAGGCTTTTGAATAAAAAAAGAATTTTGAAAATCGGTCGACAATTGGCGGAGAAATCGGTGAACATACATAAAAAATTCATACAGTCGAACATATAACTTTCTCCTTTTTGAAGTCAGTTAAAAAATTCATGAAATACAACATGACTCCACATGGAGTCACGGACGTATCACTAGAAAACGTGTGAGTTTAGTTTTCCTGCAAATATTTACAGTCTGTGGTATTTATGATCTGATTGTCTATGAATATTCTTGACGGTTACCAGGAATCTCCCGTTACAGAAACATTGTAAGACATCCGATTATACTACTGAAACTGATTCTTTGAGGGATGAAAAGAACCTTCTACCATGTCTTCGACATCGTCCTTCCACCCCTGTGTGGTAAGAGAAGCTATTAATATACGAAAAACTAACAACGCCAATTGGAGTTACAGAGTTACAGAATAAACGATCTACCCTCACCGATTTTATTAACACCGTCAGTCGCCAACAGATTCATTTTGATGGTAGAACTGATATCTTTGATATGTTTCGGCAAATCATAAACCGTCAACTACTATCATTAGTGGTAGAACAGACTAATATAAATTAAGACAATTAGCTTAAAAGAAAAGCGCAAGTCAAAAAAAAAATTAGAGGCGAATCGATCGGTGCAAGGATGGATTTTCGACGCTTGAAAGTTGTTGGAAGAAATAATATTATATTATCACCCTCTCATGCCTGAAATAAATATATCTTATTATATTAAGCATAACAAAGGCGCAGCTCAAATCAATCTTGAGGAAACATTATCTGTCGTTGTGTCCATAGTGGTGAATGTTTCTTTAATTATTTTGTGTTAATTTAAGTAGCCATAAGTACCAGATATTGTTATTAAGGAGTGTGAAACGATGAACTGTTGTGTTGCCGGCAAACAGGCTTACAGTTTGGCAAAATTTAAAATATAAATAATGTACATAATTATGATTAAAACTACTTTTACGGATTTTATCGCGTTTATTTTTACTTTTTATTTTTAATTCCCGACGTTTCGGGCGCTTTCCAGCACCCATGGTCACGGGGGACTGAATGAATGAATGATTATATAGGACAAACCAAAAGATCAATTAGGACCCGCGTAAAAGAACATATAGCTGATGTGAAGCATCAACGTTCCGGGAAGTCTGCAGTTTGTGATCATATCCTAGACGGCCCCAACCATTACATCAGATTTGATAGACCACAAATCCTCGCGAAAGAACACCGATTCCTACCAAGGATGATACGTGAGGCTATTGAAATTAAAAAACATCCTAATTTCAATAGAGAAGGAGGCTGGGTACTACCACCTGCTTGGGATCCTATAATCAATAAAATTAAAACTAAACCCAAGCATAACACTGCAAGACCTCAGGACATAGTCAGTTCATTTTGGATAGATCGGACCATAAACAATAATTAAAAAAGCTGAAGGTTCTCCGGGTTTAACAATGACATCGGGACGTCAGTCATCTCAGTCCCCCGTGACCATGGGTGCTGGAAAGCGCCCGAAACGTCGGGAATTAAAAATAAAAGTAAAAATAAACGCGATAAAATCCGTAAAAGTAGTTTTAATCATGTGCAATGTTCGCGTAAATATAAGAAATCATTATGTACATAATTAATTATAAGAATAAATTAAAAAAATATATTATTATATATTATTATTATTATTAACTTATATTCGGTATTATATTGAGATGTTGGTATTTTGCTGATAATCAGGCACCAAGAGAAAACGATCGATTTTACGAGATCCTTTTTAACCTTTACTTCAACATTTTTGGACAATGTGAGACAAATTTACACATCGGGACATGATGTTGTAGTTCACGAATCTATGGTGCCTTTCAGAGAGAGGCTGCTTTTCTAGCAGTATATTTCCTCTAAGGCTCACAAATATGGGCTAAAGATTTATAAGCTATTGTTGAATATGGCAATGTTTAAACATTTATTTAAGGTTGGCTATATCAAATTTTTCGTTGTTAAGTTGATAACACTGTATACTTTATTTTTGCTATATATCTTTTTATTGGTAATGTCCGCTGTGTGTAATCCTTATATATCTCAATAATTTAAAGTTAATAAATACAGTTCTTTGTGTACGTGAAGGTTATACTTTTATTAAATTAAAACACATCTGGTTATGGGCCCAGACACATAAATCCTATATGTT